CTTCTCCAGGTATCTAAATTATTTTTTTTTTTTTATGAATTTTGTAACAGCTGTCTTAATGAGATATGTAAGCCCACCTTCTTCATTTATCCAGTTAGTCACCAGATTCTGTCTACTATACACCTTCAATACCCCATATTTGCTATATTCCCTCCCCTCATTGAACCTGTGATAGTCTTTGTTAGTGCATCTAACAAATTAATTGATATTAATTGCTTCCTGTAACCTACAGAGAAAAGTTCATTTCTTCACATGCCTGGCCTCTGCCTCACTATTGAGCTGGCCTGTATTTCTCATCTGCGTCCTGTGCCTCAGCACGGTACTCCCAGTCTCCACATATGCTGTGCCCTTTAAGCTTTTGTGCATGTTTTCCTCTGCCTTAAAAGTCCTTTACTCTCTGTGCATGGGGAGGCAGCCTGTCGGGTTTCCCCAACTTGACAATAAACCTTTTCCCTTAAAAAAAAAAAAGTCCTTTACTACCTTGTCTATGTGACGGACCCGTACTGAGCTTTGCAAGATTGAGCTCAATTGTCACCGTTCTGTTCTCATGCACAGTGGGAGGTTTCTTTATCTAGTTTTCATAGCACTTGGTGCTTGTCTGGATTGCTTTTTTAATTTTTATTATATTCATTTGAAAGGCAGAGTGACAGAGAGAGAGGCATTGATCTCCCATCTGCTGTTTTACTTCTCCAGTGGCCACAAATGGCCAGGGCTGGGCCAGGCTGAATGTAGGATCCTGGGAGTCTATCCAGAGCTCCCATATGGGCCAGGGCCCATGTACTTGGGCCATGCTCCACTGCTTTCACAGGTGCATTAGCAGAGAGCTACATGGGAATTGAAGCAGCCAGGACTCCCTGCTGTACCACAAACTGACCTCTTTGTGTGTGTTTGTATTTATTTTTATCCACTTGAAAAGCAGAGAGGGAGAGAGTGAGCGAGAGCAAGCGAGTGCTTCCATCTGCTGGTTCACTCCTTAAAGGCCTGCAACGTCCAGATCTGGGTCTCTTCACCTGGATGGCAGGAGCCCGAGTAATTGGGCCAGCACTTGGTGCCTCCCACATGCATTAACAGAAAGCTGGATTGGAAGTGTGTGGATTCATCAGGCACTTTGATATGGAATGTGGGTGTCCCAGGTGGCAGCTTAACCTGCTGCACCATAGTGCCTGCCCTGACACTTCACATTTGATGCATTTAAGAAGCTAATGGTGTGATTGTTGAAATCCTTAAGTTTTCTCTTTTCTCTCCCTCCCCTCCCCCCCTTCCTTCCTTTCTGTCTCCTGACCTCTGTCTCTGTCTCTCTCTTACTCGCTTTCTCCTTCCTCGCCCCTTCCCTCCGGTCTGCTGGCTTTTCTCCAGTAAACCCCTTCCCTTACTCCGGTGTGTGGTGTGTTTTGAGACGGCCTTACAGTGTTTAACAGGAGGTGATACTGGAATGAACAAAGCCCTCACCAACCAAGCAGTCAGCCAGTTGATGCTACAGGGATATACTCAGCTCCCCACCCAGGAGACAGTGGCCTGAGACATCGCCCCATGCTGGAAGAGAGTACCTCATTGCCCCATGTCAGCAGGAAGTAGCTCTAAAGACAGATCATCATCTCTCCACCCCTCCTGGACTCTTGCTTTCTATAAAAAACAAAAGAGGGGAATGTTAGTAAAATGGCTCAGTCTATATGGCACCATCTATGCCTCACTTGCCATCTTGGGTCCTGGCCCTCAGGCTTTGGTCCTGAGCCCATGGCCCAACTACTTCTGTCAGCTCCACTGCCACCTTAATGGGATACACTGCTCCTACTTCCCTGCCTGGCCCCCAGCAAAGGTTTAACAGGACCTGTTCCTGAACGCGTTTGTCTCTCTTGATCTCTCTCTTAGCCTCTTGCCCTCTCCCCACCCCAGCCTGTCAGGCTTCCCCCACCCAACAATAAACCTTTCCTTAAAAAAAAAAAAAGAAATCCGTAAGTTTTGTGTTTACTGAAGCTGATGACCAGTGACTGATTGCTTCATTAGACTTCCTCCCTTCATAAAATCATTCATTCAGCAAAGAATTTCAGATTGCCGACTTTGTCAAACATTGATCTAAGTGATAGAATGGTGGCTATGACAGATGAGGTCCCTGTTTTGTGGAATTTCTGTAATTCTTAGGAAAAGAGTGCAAGTTGATGCCACCTCACACGGGGCACCAAAATGTTAGGAAAAGAGGCGCAGAACAGAGAGAAGGCAGGTTACAAATCTACAGCCAGACTGAATTAATTCAGAGAAAATAAATCCGCAGAGGTGACCATCTGCCTGCATGCACATTGGTGGAACATGTAGAAAGAGGCCTAGTGGTGGGTGACCAACTGCTGGTGTGCACAGACTGGACATGTGGTAGAGGGCCAAGATCCCAGTAGCCTGGGCCTTATTATGTCTTCAGAGGCCTAGGGGTGGGGGTGGGGATGGGGTAGGGTTAGGGACAGCAGGTGGAAGTAGATTCCTCTATATTGGTATTTCAGTTGGCGCTGGGCCTTGAACCTGAGGAAGAATGTGTGGTGAGAGGAGGGTGGAAAGGGTGAGGACAATAGGGTATGGGATCGAATTGACATTCAGGGACAAGGAATAAAGTCTAATATTATTATTTCTCTTTTGGGCCATGAGCGAGAATGGCTGAGGCTCATGTCTTTGTTCCATCAGTAACAGTGGGAGGAGATAGATAATTAGGAAGCAAATGAGCAAGATTTTCAAATATGTAATAAGTATAATAAAACAGTGATGTGATTAAGTGACTCAACAGGGCACCATGGAGACATTGGCAACTCTAGGTTCACTACAAATTCCAACTAGGGCAGAAATTCAAGATGCTAAGTGACAGCTTGCAGGCTAGGGAGCAGGTTGCTCAGAAGGTTTATCGATTCCGAGAAGAGCTGTGACAAAGTAAGCCCATGTATTTGAGGTTGTGTTGAGGGTGATATAGGTTCTGAAGTTGTTCGTATTTCTGTAATAATACCATATGTATTGTTGGAAAACCTTCAAAGTTGTATGATAGAAAAATAACAACTTATGGAAAAAAGGGTTGAGGCAGACCTTAAATACATGAAAAATTTTAAACCATTACTAACAAAATCACTGACAGACTTTAATACAGTTACCTCAGTTGAGTCTGTGCCTAGCACCGTCCCCAGGCAGTTTTTGTAGCCTTAGAATTTGAGCCTCTTGTTTCTACCTTTGAGCTGCAGGTCCCTGAGGGGTTTTCGCTCAAATGATAATCAGCTTCATCAAAATGAAAACTCTGAACCAGGCTGAAGAATTCACTCCCCCTCCCCACCCACACTTTGGCAAATATTTGTGTATCCTTCACTTATACTCAACTTTTCCACAGATAACATAGGGGCAAATAGAGTGGCCAACTACTGTGCTAAGACTTACTCTAGTTATGTGAGAGCTTGCTCTTCATTGTTTCAAATTATGAATGGGAGATCATATGAACCAAAACCATGGCCTCTGATTTGCTGCTGTAATTCCCCTATTCACCAGTGAGCTATTTGAAATAACTAGACATTGACGCGCAACAGACATTATGTGGGCTAAGTGTTGTTTGTAGTCTAAATAGTGTTTCACACATATCTACTATTTCCTAAATATGTGTAGATGCTGTTGTGATTAATAATAAAGCATGAATTTCTAAAGCAGTTTTGCTGACTTGGTAGCTTCTCATCTTTTTCTCAATTAAGAGCTACTAAAATTTCAGGGAAAAATAGGAACATTTGCTTTGGAGTGAAATGTGGAATACTATGTAACACATATAGGATTCTAAACAAATCTGTCAGAGATCAGAAAAATCCTTGTGATTTGCCAATAGAAATGCAGAGTATTGTTGAATTTCTGTGAACTGTCACACACTGTTGTGTACAGTTACTTCATTTATTCATCTTCTGAATATATATATATATATATGTTTAAAAGATCTTACTTATTTGAGAGGTAGAGTTACCGACAGAAAGAGGGAGAGACAGAGAGACTGCAACAGCAGGAGCCGAGCCGATCAGAAGCCAGGAGCTTCCTCCAAGTCGCCTACGTGGGTGCAGGGACCCAAGCACTAGGGCATCTTCTGTTGCTTTCCAGGCCATAGCAGAGAGCTATGTGGAGCAGCTGGGATGAGAACTGGTGCCCCTGAGTAGCTGATTTTTTTTTTTTTAAAGATTTATTTATTTATTTGAAAGAGTTACGGGGTGGGGGTCTTCCATCTGCCGGTTCACTCCCCAGTTGACCACAATGTCTGGAGCTGCGCTGATCTGAAGCCAGGAGCCAGGAGCTTCTTCCGGGTCTCCCATGTGGGTGCAGGGGCCCAAGGACTTGGACCATCTTCCACTGCTGATTTCCCAGGCCACAGCAGAGAGCTGGATCGGAAGTGGGGCAGCCGGGTCTCAAACCGGCGTCCATATGGGATGCCGGCACTTCAGGCCAGGGCGTCAACTCACTGCACCACAGTGCCAGTTCCCTGAATAGCTAATGTTAATACTTCATCATCATACAGATATGGACAAGGGGGTTCAGAGTAAACATGTGCAAGCTGACAAAGCCAGTAGGTAGCAGAACTGGAATTAACACCTGGCATCTGGATCTCTGCTGCTTTTTTTTTTTTTTTAATTTATTTATTTGAAAGACAAATTTACAGAAAGAGAAAGAAAGAGATACATTCTATCCTTTGGTTCATTCCCCAAATGCCAGGGCTGGGCTTGGCTGAAGCCAGGAGCCAGCAGCTCCATCTGGGTCTCCCACCTGGATGGCAGGATCCCTTGGAATTAGGCCAGCACCTGCTGCCTCCCAGCAGGGAGCTTGATCAAAAGTGAAGTTGCCTGTACTCCATATATGGGATGCTGGTGTCACAGGCAGCCGCTGAACCCACTGCACCACAACACCAACCCCCTCTGTTTCACATTACATACTGTTGCTTCACTTACTACTCCTTATATCATTTCCCTAGGGTATATGAGTACACTTAAGTAGCTATCTAACAAAACAACAACAAAAAAATGGAACACCTGATGAATTTGTGTGTCATCCTCGCACAGGGTCTGCTAATCTTCTCTGTATCATTTAGTTTTAGTATTTTTAACCACTGTTTTTGGAACATTATACTATAATATAAATTAAGAATATAAGAAGTTATGTCTTATATTAATGGTTTTGGCTTTGGGTTATTAAATCTACAAGAAGTGAATTTGTGATTTTCATTTAGTTGTAATTTTAAGGTAATATTTTTGTATCTTTAGTACTTTTGAAGGTTTCAGACAAGCAGTGAAGGCAGTGTTTTTATTAGTGGGAGGTTTAAGCGCTAGATCACCTCTTTCTATAAAATGACTTGAGTCCTAAGTGCATTTGAATTAAAACACCTGAGTCGATGATGATTTTGGAGACCTACTGAACTATGAAGATATTTCAGAAGAGTTCATGGAAAATGTAATTAAAAGGTAACATTTTGGTGCAGATTTTGAAGTCCTTTGCAAATGAGGGCTCTTCAGAAAGTAAGTGAAAAAAATATATATTATAGAAAGAGTGCATGGATTTAAAGAAAAGTCTTGCACCAAAGTACATATCCTTTAATTGCATTTTCTGTTAACTCTTTGAAATACCCTCATATTTGTGCTTTTTTGGATCAAACAGTGTTCATTATATCTCAAGTTCTTATGGTCTGAAACCTGGTATTTTTTTAAAATGAGAACTTTTATTTTATTTTTCTTTTTGCTTTCTTTTAGGAAAGCACCAGAACTTGTTGCTGGCAGTTTTTGTGACTCCTCTTACTGATCTTCGTTCTGATTTCTCCAAGTTTCAGGAAATGATAGAAACAACTTTAGACATGGATCAGGTAAGCAGTATACTTTTTAACACGAGTGGTAGAATATTTTTGAAAAGTAATGATGTATTGGAAAAGTTTCCACGGTTTTTTAGTGTCTAATTTTGGTATTTTAGCATGGCATCTTTGGAGACTGGGTGTACAATTAAGAAACAGATGGAAAAAAGAATTGTTTCAGTAGGTGAGAATAAAGATTAACAGAATATTGTACACAACTGGCCTACTTAGAGAAAATGTCATAGATGATTTTACACATGCATCTCAGTTTTGCTTTAACATGAAGAGAAAGGGAAAATAACAGTTGCTGGAAAAGGGAAGAGTAGAGATAAATGTAGGACGTAAGAGAAGACTTCTCTCTTTTTTTTTTTTTTTTTTTAAAGATTTATTTATTTACTTGAAAGAGTTAGACAGAGAGAGGTCTTCCATCTGCTGGTTCACTCCTCAGATGGTCACAATGGCTGGAGCTGCGTCAATCTGGAGCCAGAAGCTTCTTCCAGGTCTCCCACGTAGGTACAGGGGCCCAAGGACTTGAACCATCTTATGCTTTCCCAGGCCATAACAGAGAATTGGATCAGAAGTGGAGCAGCCGGGTCTTGAACCAGCACCCATATGGGATGCCAGCACTTCAGACCAGGGTGTTAACTCACTGTGCCACAGCGCCAGCCCTGCCTCTCTTTATTTTTTATGTTGGGAAGTTCTCCTGAATAGTCAGGTATTTGCATAACTAAGAAACTAACCATGACTCTAAATGCTGTTTACTTCCAAATTTCTTATTAGTTTCTGACATTTAGCATTTAATATACGTGATCAGTACTATCAAGCCTTAAGAATTTAGAACAGCAGTTTGTACATACAGTGGGAATAGTTTGTGAAATATTTGAAACTATCCTTTTATAAAAATGAATTTGAAAGATTTGAAAGTAAAATCTAGGAAATGGTAAAGTTATCTGTTAAAAATGTATGTAAATTAACATGTTGAGAACACTGAATTCAGTTGAGAACTGAATATAAAGTTTTAAATTGCATGACTTTAAAAAGTAATAATTTGAAGCTTTTTCTAAAGGAAAATTGCATGTACTCATGTTTCTCATGTGAAGATGTCCAGAGAGATGAGTCCTGCCGTTCTTTGCACAAGAAAGAATTCAGGCATGAAGCAGAGAGCAAGGTCGCAGGGTTTGATTGGGGCTAGGGTATCCATCAGATGGAAGGAACAGAGTTCCCAGTCCCTCAGACTGTTAAATGGAGAGAATACACCTGGCAAGGCCAGAAGGGCAGCAGGCTCAGCTGAGAGCTGAGTGGGCGTGGTCTTTGTTCAGACTGTGGCTTATAAAGAAAGGGTCCGGTTCCTTCTCTTTACTTCCTCTCCCTTCTCCTCTAGGACAGAGGTTTGCTGCATGTAAATTAGGAAAATTTCTCCCCAGGTCTACCACAGGTTTATCAGACTGGGGGAGTCTGGCCCTGAGGTGCCTGCCTTGGAGAAAGGATGTAATGATTTTACTGCTCTATGTTACCAGGCCAGGTTACCCATTTGGTGGAGGAGGGAGCTTCCCTTGGAGGAAGGCCTGGGACCACCTGGAAAGTTATGATGGTCTGGGCAGGATTTGGAAGTATAGATGCTGGGCTGCTTCCAAAGTGATTCCCTGCAGATGCCAGGTTTCCTCAGGCCCCTCTCACACACAGGCTATTTCTAACTTCCTACCCAACAAAGGTAAGAGTTTCAGTTGCTGATTGTTAATCTTCTTAATGCCTGTGTAGGTTTGAGTTTAAGTGCTATTGATTTGTTTTTACTGGGTCATTAAGTCTTACAGAAATTAAATCCCATTTACTCTGTGATCTCTGGGATTATTTTATTTGTCAGTAAAGAGACAGTTTGAAGCCACATCCAGACCAGTGTTATTCAGAAGAATAAAACCTGGGAGGCGCCCAATCCCAGGTGCACGCACAACAGAGAGTTGCCAGAGAATACACAGCAGAGAGCGAGCCCTTTCCCTTAGAGTCTAGTGGTTTATGTAGTACAAGGTGGTGGGAATGGGTTTGGGGGTCTGAGCCAAAACTGGGCCTGGGCTAGTTCTAAGGGTCCTGTGAGATCACAGTGTGAGCTGGGAGAGGTTTGGGCTGAGGCTGAGCTGCTGAGTTGAGAGAGCCTGGGAGGAGTGGAGAGAGCTCAGGCTGATAGCTGGACTCCTCAGATAGCAGTGTGTCCAGCAGTCCAGGCAGGGCGGGGCTGTATTAGCAGGGCAGTAAAATGGGGATCTGCTTGCTGTTATGTAGGTGAGAGGTCAGCATGGATCTAAGGCTTTTTGTCCTTGCTCTGTGGAAGACAGTGCACCTGATAGGCCAGGCAGGCATCCAGGTAAAGGCTGAGAGCACTGTCTGCATTCAGACTGCAGTTTTTATGGACTTGACTGTGAGTCCCCTATTTCTTCTCCCCTCCTCCCTCTTGTGGGAAATTGTGGGTTAGGGGATTTCTGGTGTAGACTTCCCAAAGATCCTTTCTGGATCTTATCAGCACAGTAATAGTCTGCTTGGTGCAGGGCAGGGGAACTTCCCTTGAGCTGCCCCCAGGGAGAGAGGGCTGAACCCTCTCTAACAGGGTTACTTTAGGTATAATTGCTTCTCTGCTTTCAGGGCTTGTCTCCTCATTCCACTGCACAAAAATTCACCTCTTAACACACAGGCTAATAGCTACCTAGCTACCTGAACAGTTGTGGCCAGGGAAGTGCTATGGCCTGGGATAACAGTAGAAGATGGCCCCTGCACCCATGTGGGAGACCCAGAGGAAGCTCCTGGCTCTTGGCTTTGGATCGGCGCAGCTCCGGCCGTTGCGGCCATCTGGGGAATGAATCAGCAATGGAAGACCTCTCTCCCTCCCCCTCTCTCCCTCTCCCCCGCTGTCCCTCTCCCCCCCCCCTTCTCTGTCTCCCTCTCCCTCTCTCTGTAACTCTTGTCTTTCAAATAAATAAAATAAATCTTTAAAAAAGAGAGAGAAATAGAAATATACCTGCCAGACTAGGTAGGCATCTCAGTGTTACAGAAGGAGGACCTAGGATGTTACCTAGAGGAATTTCCACATGGATAGGACAGTGAGCAAAGCGAGATTTGTTTAAGTCAGAAACCTCTTGCTGCAGTGTCAGGAGAGGAGATCCAAGAGAGGAAGACCTAAGAAATTTGTCAAAGTAGGGTCTTTTTTTTTTTTAAGACTTTTTATTTATTTATTTATTTATTTTGACAGTGAGAGAGACAGAGAGAAAGGTCTTCCTTTGCCGTTGGTTCACCCTCCAATGGCCGCCGTGGCCGGCGCGTTGCGCTGATCCGAAGGCAGGAGCCAGGTGCTTCTCCTGGTCTCCCATGGGGTGCAGAGCCCAAGCACTTGGGCCATCCTCCACTGCACTCCCTGGCCACAGCAGAGAGCTGGCCTGGAAGAGGGGCAACCGGGACAGAATCCGGTGCCCCAACCGGGACTAGAACCTGGTGTGCCGGCGCTGCAAGATGGAGGATTAGCCTAGTGAGCCGCGGCGCCAGCCTGTCAAAGTAGGGTCTTTAAAGCATGATTCTGGGAAGCAGAGTAATAGCCAACGAGAGGGATTTGTGTAAAACCCACTAGAGAGCTGGAATTGTAATCCTTTCTAAACCACCAGAAGAGTAGGATAGGTAAACTTCATCTTTGTGTTCTACTGATAAAACTAGATGGAAGGGTGGGATCTCTACTTCCTTGCTGTTCTCATGATAAAACTGGAAACTCAGAGAACTGGGTCTTTCTGTCTTGCTAAAATGCAGCTTCTAGGGAGAAGCAAGCATCTTGTCCACTTTATTTATTTCTTTGAAAGGCAGAGACAGAAATCTTCCATCTGTAGGTTCACTCCCCAAATGGCCACAATGGCTGAAACTGAGCTGATCTGAAGCCAGGAGCTAAGAGCTTTTTCTGGGTGTCCTAAATGGATGGTAGAGGCCCAGGGACTTGGGCCATCTTCAGCTGCTTTCCTAGGCACATTAGCAGGGATCTGGATCAGAAGTGGAGCAGCTGGGAACCAGCACAGTGCCAGCCCCATCCTGTCCTCTCTTAAAAGGGACCCTTCTTCCTCTTTCTCATTCCACCAGGGACCTGACCTAACTGCCTACTAGCCATCCTTACAATGCCAAAGAATTTCCACGCGGACAGTGATAGTGAGGAAAGCAAAAGTTTTACTGAAAGCAGGGAGACTCCTGATGGCAGCAGTCAGAAAGGGAGGAGTTGCCAAAGTAACTTGCAAGTAAGGGCTCTTTATCATATGAAGTGG